CGTTTCGCCATTATTCTCGGCTACCTCGCCGGAGTCTTTTTTTCCTATCCCAACCTCCCGCAAGAAACCTGCCTCATTGCCTGATCCCGATGCATTAAGACGTAATCTTACCGCAGCAACTTAGCTGTCGGCGTGAAATCCCTCATGAAACCAAGTTTGACTCTGCAGCCTCTCCAGGGATGACATCCAGCAGAGATTGAAATTTAGATCATTATCCAATGAAGACGGGCGCTGCAACGAGCAAGAGGTCCTGAGAGGAAAATTCATTATCAATGTTATGCTGGCAAGGTGGACCCTTTTGCCCCATTATCGGTGTGTGAAGGTCAACACACCGCCAATAGCACCGAGTCCTTTTGGGATTTTTGGTCTTCATGCACCGTGCTGAGAGGCTGAAGGGGTGAGGGACATTTTTTCACCTTGCATCGGAGTTCCACCGGAGATCTGCCCTCCAGTCTGTGTGTTGATACCTCCCTATTATTGATCCTTTGCGGCGAGACGGGGGTTCCTTTGGGACTCTTGGCCTTAGCGCCAGCCAGTCCCAGTCCACATTACGAGGCATTTACCCAGTAGTAAACTGTGTTTCGAGTCCACAATCACGCCAGGCAGGCTGGCAGAACGAGAATGTGCCTCGTTGCCTTGGACGAGATGATAGTAAACTGGAGAACGCGTGGGTCGTTGATAGGGCCTTGTCTCAGGGTGCACAAGCACAAGCACTGCACTGCAAGCGCAATCACGTAGATAGATGCCTCTTCAGGCAGATAGGGGTCGGTATCGATAGTCGCCGGCAGGGATCTCGGGAAGGCTCTGCTTGGCTGCTTGCGTTGCCTGCAAGGCGGCGGCGCGGCTTCTTTTCGCGGCTTTCTCTCGCGGCTTTGAGAGAATATGTACAGGAAAATCCGGATATCTCCTGCCGATCTCCTGCCTCGACAGGTCGTAGGCGCTTCCAATTTGCTGGGCTGGTGGCTTGGCGCACATGTGAAAAAATTCTTTTCTGATTTTCTTCTTCCTGTCTTTTTTTGGTTGACAGCGAACATCGATAGGGCTCGCAAACTTGGTCAATCAGGGTCTCTCTGCAGAGAACATCCTTTCTCAATCCTTCGTCTTATGCTTTGGAGCCATGCAGAAGATGGCCCACAGGGACATACCACCCAAGGCCTCACCGACCGTGGGCATGAACACGGACACGGCACACAGGGAACCGATAGCGATACGGATGCTGGACGGAACAGAGGCCGATAAGGCTCAAACTTTCCAATGGCTGTCAAGCTGTTGCAAACGCACAGATTGTCGATTTCCTAGGAGGCAGCCAAGTCGTCCACCTCCTCGCCCAGGCCAGAGGAACAGCGGGCCCTTCCGAACACTCCCGATAGGACATAGGGGTCCTGCAGGCTACATGCCTCCATTCCGCCCTACATCGGACCCTCCCATGACATCACGGCGTGGCCTGAAACCACGTTCCTGAGTTTCGCAGGGGGGGAAGGCCAATCAACGATGTGAAGCAGGGATCAAGAGTTTCCTGAAAGGCCCCAGCGTTGTTAACGCTAGAACAACTTTTCACCGTCTTCTCCATTTCCCGTCCAGGTCAGCCAAGAAGGTACGTACACGGTACGGCCTGAGTGGGAGTTCTGCAACACGGTGACAGCCTGCTCATCACAAGGAGATGCCGATTCGAGGTGTACATCATACATGTGATGGCAAATTCGCGACTCGCATCGCTGCCCGTCCCGCATCGCGCTTGCCATCCGTTCATACGCCATACGCGCAGAACACCATTTCCGGGAACTTCTCGGGCTTCAGTATCCAGTTTAAGATGGAGCTTGAGAAGCACCACGTTTTGAAAGATCCACCACCACTGCGATGGCCTCCGCGGCTTGACGTCATGGGCAGATGGAGTGTCGCCGTCGCTAAGGGCGCTTCATTTCAGACACCTTACCCAGAAACCCCGTACAAAGTCACTCATTTGCGGGTTGCACTCCGGAGGAGGAGGTGGAGGAGGTGGTGGTCGCGGCAGTTCTGCCTCGGGTTTTACGGAGACCATCTGCCTACGAATACGCACGTCTTTAGCTATCGCAAACGGCGACGGCTGAAACGGCGCCAAAGTGGCTGTCTGTCTGCAATGTCTCTGCAATGTGTCCTCGGGAAAAATAGACCGAACAATGTTCCTGGCGAAGGCTCCAGTTTAATTCTAGAAAACTTCTCGCGTCCGACCGTTGCGAACTGTGATTGAATGGCAGGTTCACGCTAGAGGCTGAAGATCAATCTATTTGCCACCACCCGAAAAAAGCGAAGGGGAAAAAAAATAGAGGCACAGATTGAGGCTCAACAACCAAGATCTTGGCTGTGCTGAACTATACTTCAGCCTCATAACGGGCAGAACCAGGACACCACCATTTCGTCTGATACAGCGCTCGTGCCGGTATCGATAAGCCATGAATCGCCCTTGTCAGGCTAGGCGGGGCTTGGGATGGTCCATGGAGACTCATGGAGACTTGAGGTGAGGGCCTCAGTCTTCGGATACGCAGTAACAGTACGAAGTGCATGCGAGCGCGCTTGGCTGCCAGCCTTCAGGTAGGTATGCGGGCACGCCCTGACTCGGTCGTTGTCCATCGGCTCAGCGCGGCGGAGACACGGCACGTCATCGGCCCATTGCACGGCGGAGCAACGGCCCAACGCCGGCGGAGAACTTCTACGTCATTGGCTCCATTTGTGTGCGGGTCAGAGACTGAGAAGACCCCGTTATCGCTGGTCTAACGGGGCCTCAAGACGGTTCAACCCAGTACCGTCGAGACAACGGACGGAGACCGACTGGGGAACCGCCGGCACCGACTCGAAAAACAACATCGAGATACCGTCTCAACACCAACGAGGTACAGACCCAAATTCTACGGGGCACTGTCCCCAGCCTCAACGGGGCATCAACCTGGTAGGGACGGGACATTTACGGCGGGTCCGCCGCAGGCGACAGCAAGACGCCATCGGTCCGAAAAAGGAAACAGGAGGCCATCCACTGTTGTTCTTCAGAGAGACATCGAAAAGGATAAAAAGGACGAGATGAATCTGCTTCAATGGGTCTCTTTTCGATCCAGCATCACACACCACTCCAATCCAATCTCATCGCATTCAAATATTCTTCTCCGCGCCTCTCAACAGCTTCATCTGACACCCATCCCTCCCCAATATCAACAACAACTTCGACACTTTCGATTTACACCACCACCACCACACACATTCAAAATGGCCGCCGTTGAGTTCGCTTCCCGCAAGCCTGAGCTTGGTATGGAGAAGGTTATCAACCCTCGCCGCCAGGACTCTGGATACGCCTCTCCCTGCGACTCTCCCCGCCTCACCGTCCAGCTTAACGACGGCAACGAGATTCCCCAGATTGCCCTCGGTGTCTACAAGGCCCCCAACGGCCAGGAGACTGAGGAGGCTGTCATCGCCGCCCTCGATGCCGGATACCGCCACATCGACTCTGCAGCCAGATACGCCAACGAGGAGGCTTGCGGCCGCGCCCTGAAGAAGTGGCTCCAGAAGACTGGCACTCCCCGTAGCGAGGTCTTCATCACCACCAAGCTCTGGGATGCTGACCACGGCTACGAAGCTACCTTCAACGCCCTCTGCGACTCCCTGAAGAAGTTCCAGCTCGACTACTTCGACCTCTACCTCATCCACTCCCCCTCTGACGACAAGGAGAAGCGCATCGCCTCCTGGAGAGCTCTTGAGACTGCCCAGCGCCTCGGCAAGGTCCGCTCCATTGGTGTCTCCAACTTCGGTGTCAACCACCTCGAGGAGCTCATGGCCGAGACCTCTGTTGTCCCCGCTGTCAACCAGATTGAGGTCCACCCCTTCCTCCAGCGCCAGGACCTCGTCGACGTCTGCCGCCAGCACGGCATCGCCATCGAGGCCTACTCTCCTCTCGCACGTGGCAACAAGCTCGAGGACCCCGTCATTGGCAAGCTTGCTGAGAAGTACGGCAAGACCCCCGCGCAGATCCTCCTCAACTGGAACGCCGCCAAGGGCAACATCGTCCTCCCCAAGTCTCTGACCGCCCACCGCATCAAGTCCAACTTCGAGTCTTTTGACTTCGAACTCTCCCCTGAGGATGTCCAGGTCATTGACAACCTTGAGGAGGGCTACATCACCGGCTCTCTCCACAAGACCGAGGACTAAATGCCTTGAATGGCATGTGCTTTGACGCACCCCTTTCGTTCGGCACCCCCCACCGCTGGATCCTCCAGCAACATGAGCTTTCCTCCATCCTGAGAGGCTACGGAACAGCCTTTACGATTGCCGACGACGAGCATCGCACGTCGTCCACCCAGGACATGATAAGGAGTTGATTGCTACTGGCGCCATTGCGCCCTCTTCCCCCGCCGGAGAGCATTTATTTCGGAGTATGGGTTTGGTTTTGGGATATCATAGAGATTGCATAGATCTTTGTCTAGACTAGCGTGCTAGGCATCAGTCAGGCTTGTTCTGATACGAATTTACGTCTTCATCTTTTACAACTTGAGCTTCAATTGTGATCGTGATAGGTAATATGGCAAAAGTGACAAAATGAAGAGATCCCAGGTCTCTTCATGCTGCAACGGTTTCCTTGGCTGTGGATGGGTCCACAGTACATTCATGCCTTGTGCCTGGAGGATGGCTTGACGAAAACTGGGTCACCCCAAGGCTTCAAGTCCTGTCGTCTGAAGTTTCTTCCTAGCTGACGTCGATCACGAATTAGAGTCGGGAAAGCCGCTAGTCAGTCTAAGGAGCACACCGCAATTTCAAGGTCAATCAGTAGCCCGGGCCGCCTTTTTGAAAACGAAATTGAAACGAAATTCTGAGGTTGAAGATCAGCTTCTCAAGAATCGCCGATTCCGTTAAGTTCGAAGCAGGCCGAGCGTAGATTTCGCTTGGCATTCCCATGTGTGATCTTCCATGAACACCGTTCGCGAACTTGTCTGGATTGATGTCAAACTCAAACTGCGCTGATGTACACAAGCTGCTAAAAGCTAGTTCTTCCACTGATGTCCGTTGGCTCCGTTTGTTCTGCCATCGTATTGGTACCGTTCCTCCAGCTCAAAGTGTTTGTTGAATCCAACACCGTCGCACACTTCCGCATAAGAAAGAACGGTTGGTGGTTTGCCGACGGTGAGGGAACCCTTGAGTGCCTCCAGTGTTTCCCGAATGCTTCTCAATTTGGCTGCGACGAGTGTCCATGGATATGCCACTCCGCAATATCCGAGTTCACCCAGTTCCTTCGCGGAAAGATTCTCCGTCTTTCCGCCCTCAATGATGTTGGCGAAAAGGGGGAAGTCGAGATCCATCCGTAGGCGTGCCATGGTCTCACGATCGGGAAGGGCCTCTACAAAGACAGCGTCGACTCCAATCTCGATTGCCTTCTTGGCCCTGGCAAGCGCCTCATCATACCCAAGAATGAGACTGTCGGTTCGAGCCATGATCCAGATATCCAATGCTTCGTTCCTTGCATCCACTGCAGCCTGCCATCGGGCGTATGCCTCACTTCTGGAGACCACACTCTTACCAGCGGTGTGACCGCATCCTGGAACACTTAGCCCCAGTCCATCATCGAATCATAAAGGGGGTGCTGAAATATCTTACTCTTCGGCCAGGTCTGGTCCTCAATCATGATACCGGCAGCTCCTACTGTTGCGAAGCTATTCAGAGCAGGTTAGCCTTCATAGAGTACAGTTTGGCTAGATGGTACTGTACCCTTCCACAGTTCTTCTGACGTTCATAGGACCGCCGTATCCAGTGTCGCCATCCACAAGAATCGGGACGCTGGTCACTCGTGCAACTTCTTGGACCTTCGCTGCGACCTCCTGGAATGCAATGTATCCTGTATCAGGCAGGCAAAAGCAGAAGCCATGGCATAGCCAGCAAGGAAGACAATGGGAAATCCGGCTTCCTCGCAAAGTCGAGAGCTGAGAGCATCGTAGCTGCAGACGTGTGCAACGATTTTGGAAGGGTCATCATGAGCTTCCTGCATAAGGGAGCGGAGCTTGGACGCCTGCAGGGACGGAATCTGTCCGCGAGAGCTATCTAAGCTTATGGTTGCGCGGTCGCCGCTCTTCTTGACATTCGGCAGGCTGTTTGTGTCGAAGTGAAAGGGATAAGGGTTCGTGTTCACAACTGATTTGGACATGGTGTGTGAGTTCGAAACGCTTGAATAAGCGAAACTGAGTCTGTGAATGTTGGGCTGGATGTCCACCTGCCCGTACCAAGTTCATCACAGAAACTGGCATCTTATATACACGATTGATGATGGGTTCTGTGCACCAAAAACAATATCTTCTCCGTCCGATTTTCGGAGTGGTGAAGCGCAAACTGTGAACTTCGGCAACGTGTTTCCCCATGGTCTTCGAAGATGCCTCTTGGCCAGTCCATCGTCAGCGCCGCTTCGTGCGGGGGAGGGGATCCAAGCACGGATGGTGCTGCGCGGCGGGGCATGCAAGGGCGGACCGACGCGGATAGTCGCGGAGCGTCGCGGGCATGATTCTCCTCCTCATCACTTTCTTCAACTGATCGTCAACAACGTTGGCTTACTGCTAATTGCATAGACTGGATACTTGGGTGGTTTCACGAGGTAAGATCAGTCCTAATGGCCCACAGCTCCTGGTTGACTCAAGCAGGGCCCCCATAGACTGACTATCTTTCATATCCATGATTGATACTCATGATGAGTGATGGATCAAGGGCCGACCTTGGGGATGCCTTGGCACCGCAGGAGTCCCCACGGTACAGACGGACATATGTCGCTTGTGATTCTTGCCGAGCTCGAAAAGTTAGATGCAACATGGGAGAGAAGCCGCCTTGCGCGAAGTGCAAACGAGAGCATCGCGACTGCCGATTCGACCGTCGCCCCAGAACCGCGAAACATAGAGATGTCCCGGCCTGGGCAGGATCGACAACATCGCAACGTTTAACGACATCACCGGCACAGCAGAGTTCATCCGACGTAACCCAAGCGGTTTCCTCGGCAGCATTGACTCAAGCCAATGCTCGACCTCATCAGCAAGAGGTCTCTCCTGAAGAAACTATTCCATCAACCGATCCTGATAACCACCCCATCGCATGGCCTCAGAGCTCCCTTCCAGACAGCAGGTCAATCTCTGACAGAGTCATGTCGGGTCTTGTGACGGGTTCTAATGATGCTCTCGACGTGTTGTCTGACGCGGCAAACTTGCTTCATCATAATACGGCATCACCTGCTTCTGGGCCACCCACGCAAACGACTCTGGCCATGCAAGATATCCCAGTCGCTGTCCCTGCCGCTAGGAGTCCAGGCTGCCAGAGCGGAACGGGTTTCAACATAATAACTCTGTCGGAGCCGACTGATGCCATCCTGGACATGTGGGATAAATGCAGATTTGTCAGACAAGGCTGGTTCACCTCACAAGAGGCCGTCACATATGTTGATCTGTGATAGCATAAACTGCAATGAAGAAGATTGGCCACTGATCCTGAATGCAGATTTTACAAATACCTGTCTCCGTGGTCACCAGTCGTCGTTGATCAGTATTGGAATCACGAAGCACACACCGCTCTCATATGTGAAGAGTCAATGCTTTGTTGCACAATATTGATGATCTCTTCACGATTCTTCATGCTCCCAGGCGCAGGCGGAGTATCTAGAAGCCACCTTATACACAACCGTCTTTGGCAGTATTGCGAGTCCCTGATAAAGCGAATCATACTCGGCCAGGAGAAAGTCTCATCCGCCAAGATGAGAATAATTGGAACTATTGAAAGTTTATTACTGATATCAAATTGGCATCCCCGCGCTGTACATTTCCCACCGGATACAGAGGGTTGGGATGCCGTGCTAGTCGACACCGAATACGATCGCCAAAATCGCAAGCGTACAAATAATGAAGAACCACTCCTCCGGTGGCGTAAAGATGTATTCGAGCCAGCAAAAAGAGCCAGTCGGATGTCCTGGATGCTTCTTGGCTTGGCGACAAATCTCGCATATGAGCTTGGGATTTTGTCGAGCGCCCATCAAGGAGACGCATCTGGCCTCAACATAGCTGAGCGTCGGAAATTCCGAACTCAAAAGCCTCTTTACACCTACATGACACAGACAGCGACACGACTTGGCTATCAAACCGTGTTCCCAGAAAGCATTTCAATTGTAGTCGCCCGATCATCAATGCGACATATAGACGACGAGGCACAGGTTTCATGGAACACTCACATGGATGCGTACTCGGAACTCACCCGGCTTTCGAAAGTGGCATCTACAATGTTCTTTCAATCCAAAAATCACCTGGAGGCTGTTCTTCAAAATGATAACTACCCCGATCTTCTGGAGCACTTTCTCGCCTCGCTGTCGACCTGGAATAATACGTTTGGGTCGACTCTGACAGGTTTGAAACCCCACTCCCAAATGACCAGATCACCTTCTATGTCTGACTAGTTTCGTAAGATACTCACGAACCTCTCAAAGACTCGCTGCTCATTGAATTGTACCATCTAAAAGCCTGCATTGGTTCTATTTCCATACAGGCAGTAGTAAAACGGGCAACTGTTTCGGGGTCAGTGCGGCCACATCAAGACGGTCTGGCTTCGTACATGACCGTTCAAGACGCGAAATTTTTGCAAGGTGTCCTTTCAGATAGCTGTCAGGTGCTAGAAATGGTAACCGAGAGACCATTCAGGGAACATCTGGCATACGCTCCTGCCCGTATCAGACTGAACGTAATTTCAGCATCTGTTTTTCTGCTAAAGGCTATCAGCCTTGGATCGCCAGCAACGGATGTGGATGGAGCTCTGCGTGCGCTGGATCGGTGCACCACTACCCTGAAGAACTATCCGCCAGACGATATGGACTTCGCCATGAGATACGCTGATCTTATTGAAAGACATGCGTCAAGTCTCCGTGGCACGCTGTCATCGATGTCTCAACCTTTGAGAGAAGGAAGAAGGCCGAGCCAGGCCTTAACAGATGGCCATATGAGCAGTCTTTACAGCGGACTTGATCTCACAACTTCTCATTCAGAGACGGCGACAACTGAAGCAGCATTGCTGGATCAGTCGGGTTTTTGGCGAACGTGGCAGTTTGACTCCAGCATAGCTCCATTTGGCGATACAGCTGATCAGTTATCCCATGGGTTCGACGTTGATTCTCTCAACTTCTTATGGAACCTGCCGGATATTAGCTCGTGAAGCAATCAAAGGTGCTGTATTGTAACTTGGAGAATACTTTGCCCAGGTTAAGTCACGTTGCCGCCGCTTGTGTCTGGAAGCTTGCCCAGCATCGAAAGGGCAGTCAGAGAAAACAGACTTCAGGGACCAGTCAATGCCAATGCCATGTTGATCCGTGTCGATCCGCATCGGACCTCATAGGTCCGTGTCAGTCCGTGTCAGTCCGATGGGCCCCGCACCGGCCTGCTGGCCCTCGGCCCTGCTCCCGCCATCCGTGTAAGGCCGGACTGAACCTCACGGAAGACATTCGGCATATGCTATAATCCGTCTGCAACCGAGCTTATCGAGCCATACTTTGTCCGGGCTAAACGACAATCAATCGAGCCAGCGACAGTGTCACTGGAGCCACGGACGCTAGCGGACGGAAACGTGCAGGATCTCTGGGGTAGTCTGGGGTAAATCTGGGGAAACCTAGCATGCAACTCTTATCATCAGCAGAGATTTTTATAAATCGTTCACTCGATTTTCCGAGATTTTCGACTGGTTTCATGTTTAGATCACCTCCTATTTGGAAATCTGCACGTATACCAACGAAACCCAATACGAATTTCACGAAATGGCCCTTATCGAACTGAAAGAAGACACGCCTGCTTGCGATCATGTTGAGAAAGGCGAAAGCCTTGAGCCAGTAGCCAGCAATTTTGGCCATACTGGCACAGGCAAAAAAGTCAGTCCAGCAGAGATCAAGCTTGTGAGGCGCCTAGATTGGACCATTCTCCCTGTGCTTTGGGTCATGTATTGGTTCAAGTAAGCAATGTTAGGACCAACTAAAGCGCTGCGGCTGATTGTCACAGCTACCTCGACCGGAATGCTATCACTGTCGCTAGATTAGACGGAATGGAAGAAGAACTCAACATGACATCGACGGAGTACCAAACCTGTGTCTCCATCCTTTTCGTGGGGTACATCTTGGGGCAGATTCCAAGCAGTAAGGCCTCCCTCACATGCCATTCCTAAGTCTGACTTTTTCAGACATGCTCATAACAAGGGTCCGTCCTTCCTGGTTCATGGGAGGAGCGATGGCCCTATGGGCCATCGTTAGCACCCTCACAGCAGTGACCAAGGACTACAAGGGTCTTCTTCTCACACGCTGCTTCTTGGGGATTACGGAAGCCCCCTTCTACCCAGGAGCTTTGTACATCCTCGCCATGTTCTACGATCGACAGGAAATCGCCACTCGAATTTCTATTTTGTTTAGTGCTAATATTTGCGGCACGGCTTTTGCGGGTCTCATCGCCATTGAAGTCTTCCAAATGGAACAACTAGCCGGTCTGTCTGGCTGGAGATGGTTACTTATCACCCAAGGAGTCATTACATTCGTCATTTCTATTGCCTCCATATTCATTCTACCGAACGAGCCCCTTAACACGCGATGGTTGTCTGAAGATGACCAAAGACTTGCGCATGCCCGGGTAGCGAGAGACACCGTCGAACTTGAAGATAACACGAGCACTTGGGCTGGGCTGCTCCAAGCGACACGCGACCCGCGTCTTTGGGTTCTTGTCTGTTGTCAACACTGCCACATGGCTGCAAGCAACTTCAAAAATTTCTTCCCCACGATAGTTGAAACTCTGGGCTTCGATAGGAACGTCACTCTTGCTCTTACTTGCCCACCTTATCTAATCTCTGGTGTTATATCTGTGATTTGGGCGACTAGCTCTGGTGAGCTTCTTGCGTACTCTTTCTTCGGTTGTATATGGTTAACAATGAATTAATGAATTAACAAGCTTAGGGCGTTTCAACGAAAGAGTGTGGCATATCACGATCGCCAAAGCTATTGCGGTCTTCGGGTTTGTCCTGGCCTGCAGTACGCTTAATACCGGGGCTCGTTACTTCGCAATGTGCGCGTTCGCAACCGGAGTCTATGCCTGCAACAGCGTGATCCTGGGATGGGTATCGAGTACTTGTGGGCAGACGAGAGAAAAGAAAGCTGTGTCTCTTGCGTTGGTAAATACCATCGCCACAATTGGACCCATATACACTCCTGTAAGTACACATACACATTGTCTCAAGGTTGCGTCCCTCAGGCTTGGCTCACAATTCTGAAGTACCTTTGGCCGGCCTCAGATGAACCCAGATATACTACTGCTATGGCCTCAAGTGCTGCATTTTCTGCGGCAGCTGCGGCCTTAGCATGGCTTCTGAGACGGATGCTGATCAAAGAGAATCAAAAGGTACTGCGCTCAGGGACAAGCAATGAGTTACTGTATAGTTATTAGTTTTATAGCAGGCTAGTTACAATCTCTTCAAAACCCGTCGTTCGTTGCTCAAATCCATCTTCCCGTTCCACCGCTCGTGTATCTTTTGCCTCTCCGTGTTGCAGCCAATAGCATATTCAATTTCATTTCGTCTTTCATCCTTTCGTGGCTCATGTACCGGGGTTTACGGCTCGGCTTAGAGAGTTGCAGGAAAAGCGATGTGCCTGAGCAACCCGCTACCAATGTTTCCGATTTCTCTCCACCCCGTCCATCTTTTGCGATTGGGCTCTGCTTGGAAGGTCCGTGAATGATTTCACCTTAACGAGCCGATGAGGTGTGCAAGATACCGGTGTCACAGGGGTTGATGCTGAGAAGACTCTCTTGACAGGGCGAGATGATGGATGAAGGCTGTCCGAAATGGCCCGTGTCAAAGTCGGGATTAAGAAGGATCCTTTGCCAGCGGAAGAAGTGGCATCATCGGAGTACGATGAGACACTACGTGGAGTCTGGTTTGGGGTAATGGCCAGGCTCGGTAGTCTTTGGGTCTTCTTTTGCCGTGTCTGGTCTTGTCTAGCTCTTGAGTCAAGAGCAAGGTTGTAATCGGACCGGATGATTAGTGACGAAATATCAGGACCAAATGAGCCCATTGTAGCTTCTTTGGCTGTTTCGTCTCTGAGCTCAGCTTTCTCGACCGAACGATGCCAGTATGCAACGCTGTCGTGGCGCGTTGTGTTTGGATATGGCCTGGAGCCTTGCGAGTGACTTCTTAGGCGCCCAATTGAATTCTCGTTTGCCTGTAGATGGGTTGAAGGTATCATGGCAGACATCCTCCGTCCCCGATCAAAACCAACCCTTCCGGTTACCATATCCGTCTCTTCCAATTCATCGCAAAAAAAAAAAAAAAAAAAACCCCGGCTAGCAGCATGCTTCTTCGGGGACTCTGGCCGGGGTGGGAGCTCAATGGCTCAAAGGACGTCTGCGAAAAGCTCAGGGCTTGGTCCATATTTCCACAGCTATCCTCTGCAATCCTAGATGATGGAGTTTCGTCTTGGTCTGGTCTGCCGCTGGCTTGCACTCCTCCATGCTGATCAGTTGTCTCGTAAGGATGCTTCCGCTCATCGATCTCCTCGTCAAACATGTCGAAGTAGATGTAAGGAACGTTGCGAGCTGCGATCTCCATTTTCTGTTCCGTCTCAGACCCGGGTAGTTCTTGGTGTGCCTTTCGAAGAGATCTTTTGATCATACCCTCCAGCTTGTTAAGCTCCTGGAATAACCTCTCTTGAGAAATATTGGTTCTGAAGCTGAGAGCACTAAGAAATCGTCAAATTGAAGAAACCAAAAATTTTGTTCGAACCTAAAATGCTTACATGGTTACCAACTGCAAAGTCATCTGAATTGCCCAGTTTGAATTGAAGATCTTGACCTTGTAGTCTTGAATCTCTTCCTTGTGGATACTCAGGATGAAATAGAAGTTTGTTTTTCTGAGAAGTGTTGCAAGCGAGTTGCCCTCCGCGTCGAAACGTACGCTGAGTTTTCTGAGAAGCTGATCGAGACCAGCGATGTTGGACTTGCAGTCTGCTAAGGTGTCTCCAATATGTCCCCATGTGTTGTGATAAAATAATGAAAGTGACGGTGCGTGTGTCTGGCACTGCCTCACTGTCTTGTCCACGGACAAAAAGAGTCCAGACAGCTTTTGGACCTCTGCGCAAGTCTCTGATAGTTTGATGTCCACATTCTTGACCTTTTTGGCCAGTCGAATCAACACAATAGCAGTCTGCAATAACGTCAGCATGCATGAATCGAACAACAAGCGGGTATTCCTATGGCCTGCCTCTCTTCGCAGACCATTGAACCGAAGGACATGGAGAAACCACTCACGCTTCCAGCAGCTCCTGCTAGTGACGCTGCAGTCGCAGCAATCGATATGGGGTCCATTTCAGATGTAATGAAGACCGAAGAGGCATTTGAAATGAACACTACTCGTGAAAGCTCAGAGTCTGTCAAGATGTCAGAGAAAGACACCATGCTTCTAGAAACGATCAGATATAAAGGATTCTGGAGAACGATGAGCTAATCTAGTGCTGGTATTGCGGCTGTCTGAGAACATTCCAGATCTAGTTTAAGCACATTAGTCGGATCTTGGAATGGGTGGCTGGCAACGTTAACCGTTGGCGCCACTGGGCGCCTCATACCGCTGAGGCTGAAACAGAAGCTGACAGCGGATTGGGACCACCAAATATAGGCCTGTCCGATTTGGGACACTTCAGACGTCTAGCACGATTGAACTAGAAAGCTTACTTGGTTTCAGACCCTACGCCAGTACACCAAACGGTTGGATAACAGACTAAGGAAAGGGGATAGGTTTGACATGTCGAGGCCAATCTCTCTTGGTACACCAACCACTCTTAGTCCCTTACTTCTGAGGTTGCTTTAGACTCGAAATAGTCGAACAGAAAGACGATGCTTCCTCCTTTTCCGGAAGGACAACCTTGCTTTTTCCCAGCATACTAGTGTTAGTCGATGCTCAAGTACAACCGCCATATTTTCGACCACAATTCCATTGTTACACCGAAAACAGCCACCACAACCCCTGCAAACGTATAGTTGACCGTTTACTATGCGCATAGCTGAGTTCTTGTCTCTATTGCCCCCTTTCCTTCCGGCTCGATCAATTTGTTTCCGTCACCACTAAGGTAGTTCAACGCTCTTCAAAATCACGAAAGAACCCCTGAGGAGCCAAAATAGAGTTCACCCCTGGGAAAACAAGCAGCCACGCCAGATCTCCCGTAGATCTTAGGGGAGAGCGCTAAGCCCTAGGCTCTATGTAGCGCTCGGAAGATTGTTCCAGTCCGCAAGAGGTAGCCTGTAGCATTCTCAGACGAATTTCGCGTTCCCGCACCGGACTCAACAACGTGGCTGGGACACGTGTTGACGGGCACATTCACGAGTTTTCTGTAGTTCTCCCAAATGGTCAACGTCATTCAATCAACCCCGGGCCGTAAGACGTGTTGTGTGTCGGGATGCAATCCAAGGATTTCTCGAGTATCCTTCCATCATTCTTGGCTTGCAAACTACCAGGTGCTTTAATAAATGATTCTTACGAGTGCATAATGCTCAACGTACCCAGTCATAAATACTCAACCAGCCGAATTTAGCAATCATGGATAAGAAGAAATCTAAACCTCAGATAAGGAACTTGATATATACGGGAAAAGATGGGACTGTAAAGGCTCGAGTGCAATTTAAGCATTGACTCATCCGCTGCATGGCATTCTGCAGCGAACTTTCATACATTTCTTCAATATCAATGCCAGGAACGTGCTTTGATTTGCGCAGTAGACGTTTTCCATTCTTGGACTCGAATTTCTGCGATTTTGTCGTCGGATTCTTGGCACCTGAGCTTTTATAACCTCGCTTGATAACGCTCAACAATTTCAAACATTGCCTGGTGATGTTCACCGCTGGTGAGCAGCACCTTCTCGGTGAGCATGGAAGAAGAAGAAGGTGAGGAACACTAAGAAGGTAACTGGGGTTCCCCATATTTCAAGCTCGGACACAGTGCATTCGTATCCGGTCCAGCCACATTGCACGTGACCTGCGCCACAGCTCTCACCAGTGAGCGAAGCCCGTGCCACTCCATCTTACATCACCAGCCTCATCAGCCTCGCGGACGTCGCGCGTCAACCAGATCTCGAAGTCTCATCTAGAATCTCATCGTCGCAGATCGCAACAATGTCCACCAACGCCCCCGAAGCAAACGCAGAGCAGGCTCCGACCGCGCCCAACTCGCAAGAGGCTCCTGCCCCGGGCGCCGCTCCGGCTGGCGGTGCCCCGGCGGCAGCCCCAGCTGCTGCTGTTCCGGAGGCAGTCGCGCCTGGCCCCGAACCGAAGGCGATCACTCGTAAGGACATGTCTCTGCGCGAGTTTCTGACCAAGATGGACGACTACGCTCCCATTGTATGACTTCTCACCTCCCAGACTCAACAACGCATTTGAAGCTAACTACGATGGTCACAGATTCCTGATGCGGTTACAAACTACTACATGACCAAGGCCGGCCTCCCCCCTCCGCCGCAGACCGATCCCCGCCTCGCGCGCCTGCTCGCTCTGGCGACGCAAAAGTTCATCGCAGATATTGCCGCCGACGCGTACCAATACAGCCGCATCCGCGCGTCCAACTCCAACGCCAATAACCCAATGGGCAACCTCGGCGCCGCCGCCGGCTTCCCCATCCCCGGCCAACCGACAGGCCCCGCTGGCGCAAAAGACCAGGGCCGCGGTGGCCCGTTGGGTATTCAGCGTCCCGGCTACGGTGGCGGCGGTCAAGGAGGCAGCCAGAACCGCACGGTGTTGACGATGGAGGACCTCGGTATGGCCGTGGGCGAGTACGGTGTCAATGTCAAGAGGAGCGAGTTCTACCGGTAGAGGAGTGGGCTTCAGCAAACGTTTCTTTCCGGACGGGTGTATACATATCAAGGCGTTGGATGGTTTGCTTCGGCGTCGAGGGGCCAGGGAACATGGCAAAATGATTTTACAGTTTCAGCGGGCAAGTCACGCACGACCAAGAAAGAATGATACAATAGAGCCCATTCGTATATGAAGCAGAGGGTCATCATCGGCACATGGCCTGGCATTTTGATGCTACAATGCATCGCTGGTATCTTGACTGTGTTGTACAAATGTCGGTCGTCACTTTCCTCCTCTCGCCAGAACATCCCCGGCTCCTCAGCAAACGTCTTCTTACAATCTGGACCAGATGAAGGGCTTTCTCGTACTAGACAGACGCGCATTAGTTCCTGCTCAAGTCGTTTGCAATGAATGTGTCACTCACGGCGCGAATTCTCCAAGCTTGTGTCCTACCATATCCTCCGTGATGACCACATCGAGGAAATATCTTCCATTGTAGACCTGGAACTTGAGGCCGACGAAGTTGGGCAGAATAGTGGCCGATCGAGCCTGCGTTCTGATGGGAGGGACCTTCTTGCCAGGTGCTGGGCGGACGATGGCGAGACTGTTCGCATCAAGGTTAGGATCGAGGGGTGTTGGCCAAGGGGTATCGCAAAGGGTTCTCTTACGGGACGATGTTCGGTCCTGGAGGCGCAGCTGTCAGTTCACCATTTCCACATCAATGCAAGATGATTGCGACTTACCCTTCCACACCGATCTCTTCAGGAGGGCCAACGTGGGTTGCATTTTGGCGGCTGATGACCCTGTCTTGGGTTGATGGCGCTGCTGCTCTTCGCGATTCAACGCCTTGCTGCTGCGGCGCGCGGGAGGAACTTTCCGAGCTTCGAGAATTTGTCCGTGTCACGTGATGAGTGACCGTTGCGGCACCGTACCGCTGCCGCCCCCAACGGGGACCCACTTCAAGTGCCGTCCCTCATGCTGCTTGGTTCAACACATGGGCCTGCAGATTGTCACCGAAATCAAAGTCGAACGTAACAACAGAAGTTTTAGTCGCATCACAAGTTCACCTGATGTTCATTGCATTTCCTCCTCATCGCTCAAATGGCCGAGCCACTGCGGGATAGCTGCAGCACACAATGCGCTGAATGGATACCTACCCATCGTTTCAGACAGCCAGAGAACGCTGGACTCGGTCAACTTTGTTTCCTGTCACGAACTGATGAAACGACTCAATCATAGTTTGGACTTCACACAAGGCCCACCCTGCTCCCCTTTGGAATGCGCAAGCCGGCCAGCGGGCTCAGAAAGAGAAAATCGCCTGTGCTGGGAGCTCGCAGTCAGCCCAATATGGCAGCTTCCCCTTGTCTCATATCCGTAAACCAACGTCATGGACAGGCAAGAGATCACATTGTCTCCTATTCACCATGAGCCGTCTCCCGACTTCTATATGGATGCCAATTATCTTGCAACCGTGCTAGCATCATCCTCCCGGCCTCGCGGCTCAGTCTGGGCCTCTATGTGCTCCCACTTGATGATCAATGTGGGGAAAGTAGTCAAGCTGGCGATCCCTTAATTCCAGCCCACTATACCACGCGGAGGGAGATTCCCCGGCCATGTGAAACCAGCCCAACTTAATCCCCCCTTTGGACCAACATCAGTCCATCACTCAACTGAATCCTGTCGCCGGGAAACTCTGCCAAACATGTCATTGTCTGCGCCATATTTGCTTTTATCAGGCCGTCACGGCACTTGGCTTGCTCAAATTTGCTCAAGTGCCGCTGCTGTCACTCCAACAAATTGCTCCGACGCCAGATATATATATGTACTCAGATGGCTACGCAGACAGACTGCATGTAATCTAACCCCGACGTGACTAGACCACCACGACCCGAGCAGCCGCAATCCTCGGCATTCTCGGCACCAATAACCACAACGTGACAAACCAGGAATGATGCAAGGTCCAGAGGGAAAAGCGCCCTGGGAGGTCCAGGTCCCGAGATCTGCTCTTCCCTGCCAGGACTACCCCACACGGCACATCACCCATGCCAAGCAAGCTTAGCCGGAGGAGGCTCTCTCTCTCGTCTCTATGTTACAGGCACACTAGCCAGTTTCCCAAATTTTCCTGCAAATCGCGTGCCTTTTTGGCTCTATACATGGGACGGAGCAAGGGACTCCGTCACGATGGGCCCTGGACGAAGGCAGCCAGCCCCCAAAGTTCGAACCACACCCCCTAAAACTGTAAACGAGACGAAAAAGAAGAGGGGAACGATGGGCCACGAGGGCAGCCGAGTATAAAGCCCACGGTGCCTCTGAGCTGATCTGGGGTGGTGGTCTTGGCTTTCTGGACCTCATCCGACCTGTACCTTCTTTTCTTAGTCTGACCCCAATTTTTTTGAGCTTCTTCCAATTTCCATTCTTTCTTCGACAACATGAAGTTTTCCAACTTGGCTCTCGGAGCTGTGTCCGTCGCGTCGGTCCTGGCGGCCCCCGTCGACGGCTCTGCCAAGACGAAGCGTGCCGGCAAATTCACCTTCACCGGTGTCAACGAGTCCGGTGGTGAGTTCGGCCAGGCCAACCTGCCTGGACAGCTGGGCAAGGACTACACATGGCCCAACAAGACGGCTATTGATGTGAGTATTTGTGGTCAAGGGGGTAAAGCAGGAGGCTGACTGAGTAAGACCCTGAGGGCCGCTGGCCTCAACACCTTCCGTATTGGAACTATGATGTAAGTTCAAAAGATGGGATGTGAAGTTCTTGTCCATTGATATATTACAGGGAGCGCATCATTCCTGACAAGTTGACGGGCACCATCAACGAGACCTATTTCTCTGGTCTTGAGGACGTAAGTGTTGCTTGTTGTCATTCAAACACCAGCGTAAGCTAACCCAGCCATAGCTTGTCAAGGACGTTACCTCGAAGTGAGAACCGGAAAGACTCTCGACCGAATCACAGCAAACTGACAATTATAGGGGCTCCTACGCCGTCATCGATCCCCACAACTACGGCCGCTACTACGGCAACATCATCACCAGCAGCGCCGACTTTGGAGCCTGGTGGAAGACCGTTGCCGCTCGTTTCAAGGACAACGAGAAGGTCATCTTCGACACCAACAACGAGTACCACGACATGGACAACACGCTGGTCCACGACCTGAACCAGGCCGCCATCACCAACATCCGTGCTGCGGGTGCCACGACCCAGAACATTTGGATCGAGGGTAACTCGTACTCTGGTGCCTGGCACTGGATCGAGAGCGGCTCCGGCGACGCTCTCAAGAACCTGACTGATCCTTCTGATGCCACTGGCAAGAAGCTCTTTTACGAGATGCACCAGTACCTCGACACGGACGGCTCCGGCACCAACGAGGCCTGCGTCAGCACCACCATCGGTGCTGAGCGTCTCGCCGTTGCTACCAAGTGGCTTAAGGACAACAACAAGCAGGGTGTTCTCGGCGAGATTGGCGCCGGTGCCAACGACCAGTGCGTCACTGCTGTCAAGGGTGCCATCCAGCACCTTTCGGACAACTCGGACGTCTGGAAGGGCGCTCTCTGTAAGTTTGCAGCCTTCTGACCTCGTTTTTTCACGATTCTAACCTTGAGAAGGGTGGGCTGCCGGCCCTTGGTGGGCTGACTACATGTACTCTATGGAGCCTACAACTGGCAAGGCTTTCGTCACATACCTCCCGGTTCTCAAGACATTTGCTTGAGACCGATCGCGATATTCGGATGTGGGGCCGTATTCGGCCGGCAGAGAGAGGGGCCGTACCCCGTGCCCCGTGCGTCCGATATGTATGGTTTAGATGCATATCTACCATAGAATCGCATAAGGTACTGGGCGCGTTCCCTCTGGATCAGTTTCAGTGGTAGATATTTTCTCAAGAGGGGCAAACCCCGTGTACATATCTGGAATATGAAGGCATCTTGCCATTGAAGTGCAACCACTTTGCCAACATGACACACGATTGAAGGGACCAAACAACGCCAAAGCAGGCAATTGCATGCATGACCAAATTTCAGCTGTGAAATGAGGCACGGTGGAAGCTGTCTTGAACAGGCAGGTGGGTGGGTATCTGACAGGATTCCCCACGTTGCAATCAATGAACGTGTCCTCATCGCGTCCCTGAACTTCGGATCCTGGGTGTCGCCTCACCAACATGGAAGACTGAGAACCGCGGTACAGGGACCGGAGTTTTGGAGATGGGGGTGTGGCGTTGGTTCATCGGCCAGACGGACGATTCAAGCCACCGAGACACACATGTCACGAAGACAGATGGTAGCCAACGGAGATTCTAGCCTAGCTCGCATGGCCCAAAGTTTGGCGTCTTTAGAGATCCATGGTTGTTGCATCGAATGCGCCTGCGGTTAACATAGTGTATTCTCCGTTTGCGTACCTAGGTAGGCAACCAACATACCACGCAACAGAGGGGACATGAGCCTCACTGCAACCCCTGCAGCTAGGCACCTTAGGTATTGGATGTGACCTGAAGAAAGACGATGGTAGAAGGCTACAGAATCCCAAGGGCAGCGCTGAAAATTGTGCAATTCGCAATTCGCCATCCCGCTGGACCCCGAACTCTGGGCCAGACCTACCTAGCTGGACACAGGTACCCTGAGCGGCCTCTCACCTCTGCAACCAAGCGCAAGCCGCGAATCGGACCGCGCTAAAAAAGCAGCCGGCCAGCAAGACTCTCCACTAAAGCACCTCTCCACCTCCACCTAACCCAACCGTTTCGACCACCTCACCCTCAGGGCTCTCTCTGCCGCCAGTACAAAAACTCGCAACCTCCACGTTCGCGCCTCTCGCACCCGACCTCATCCAACCGGCCACCCTCCTCCGTCTCTCTACATCAACCCTCGTTGCATCAGCAGAGGTCTCGGTTCAACTTCTTCCCTTTCGTCAATCCCAGGAGTCAATCGTCAATACCGCCAAAATGGTCAGCCCTCAGATGTGCGTTTGCCTGTCCCCTCCAAGGCCTCCCGCGCCGCGTCGTATGCAGACCCTGCGCGAAGGCAAAAGAA